GGAAGGGAAACAGCAGCTGGCAACCTCTCAGTTCCCCAAAGGGAGAGGGAACCCAGAGGGTGGCGGTACGGGAACCGGAAAGGGCACTGGGGGCAGCTACTCCTGGTGGGTCCGCTGGTGGCGAAGGAGGTGGGAGGTGGCTCCGAAGCCCTTCCCGCAGTTGGCGCACTTGTAGGGGCGCTCGCCGGTATGAGTGGCCCGGTGCCGGGCCAGGTGGGCCTCGCGGGTGAAGCCTTTGCCGCAGACGCCGCACTCGAAGGGCTTCTCGCCCGTGTGGATGCCCTGGTGCCGGGCCAGGTGGGCGCTGCGGGTGAAGGCTTTGCCGCAGACGCCGCACGCGAAGGGCTTCTCGCCGGTGTGGGTGAGCTGGTGCCGGGTCAGGTGGGCGTCACGGGTGAAGGCTCTGCCGCAGATGCCGCATTGGTAGGGTCGCTCGCCGGTGTGGGTGCCGTGATGCCGGGTCAGGTGGGCGTTGCGCCCGAAGGCTTTTCCGCAGTAGGTGCACTTGTAGGGGCGCTCGCCGGAGTGGGTCTCCTGGTGCCGGGCCAGGTGGGCGCTGCGCCCGAAGGTTTTCCCGCAGTGGGTGCAGGTGTAGGGGCGCTCACCCTTGCTGCGGTGGCTGCAGGTGGTGAGGCGCTGCTGTCCCCCCGAGTGGGTGCCCAGGTGCCGGGTCAGGTGAGAAGTGCGCCGGAAGCCTTTGCCACAATATGGGCACGTGTTGGCTTTCTCGCCCATGGGCGCGGCCAGAGGGGGTCTCCTGTAGCCAGGGGTTGTGGGTGCGGCCAATCCTTCGGCAACTCTGCCTGCAATTCGGCTTCAGTCCCAGAACTGTTCCTTTTGGATCCTCCCAGGCAGCTTCAGGGATCCCACTCCTCCTGCTCCCTGTGAGGACAGAGAATCCAGCTGTGAATTGCTCTTAGCTGGGGGGAGCTTGCTCCCCAAACCTTCCCCTGCTGCCCCATTTCTGCTGAGAGGCAGGGTGGCCTAGCAGATAGAACAGTTGGAATCTGGCTTCTATTCCCAGCCCTGACCTCCTGGGCGGCCATCCAGCTCCGTGCCTCAGTTTCCCCACTTGGACAATGGGGCTTACGCTACTGAGCTCCTTCATCCAGGGCTTTGAGATCTGTGGATGGAAAGCACTATGCAGTATTATTAACAGAGGCTCAAGAGTCTGATTCTCAGGAACAAGAACATGCCAATATTTCCTCTAATTTTTTCCATCCGAGTGCGGAATAATTTTATGCACATTGAGGCATGTGCGGATGTGCACCACCAGTAGAAACACAAAACCCAGCTGCGGGCGCTCACCTCATCAGCTGGGTGGCACTGGAATCTCCCCTGTGCGGCTGCACAAGCGCCCAGTGTACACGGAACACTGCTGGCAGCTGAGCCTAGATCAGCTGTTTCCTGGCCGACTCAATATTCTGAGCACCAGCAGAACTGCTCGATGTCTGGCCAAGCTCACTGGATGAGGGGAGCCAGCAGGCCCTTGCTTTGAACCTTATGCTCCTGCCCCAGACTTGCCTTCCAGCCCCCTTTCAAACCTGCTCTGATCTGCTCCTTGTCTGTTTCTGGACTCCAGCTCCAACCACTAGGCCTGACGGCCCACAACTAGGTTTTGACACGGATTCTCAGATATGCCCAGACCCTGCCATTGGTGAGTTGAGTCCCCAAACCATAACAGGGCTCAGAAGGAGACACTCCCAGCCTTCCCCTAGTGCGGGGGCTCCAGTCCTGCTTAGGTCTCAGTGCCCCCAGGGAAAGGCCAGGAGCAGTAGGGATTGGTAAGAATGGATCCCCCCACGAGGGAGGAGCGCTCAGGTGCTGACAGAACCAGCCTCCCAGAGCTGTGTGAACAGCTGGCAGTTCCAAAAAAACTGGGGAAAAACAAATCGTTTTTGGATCAACCCGCCAATGATTTTTGTTTAAAAAAAAAGTTGCTAAAGTCCGAACAATAATTGGTTTTAGTCAAGTAAAATCTTTCAATCCATCCAAAAAATGTTGGGTCAAGATTTTTTTGAATTAAAAAACCTACCTAGTGCATTTGCCTTTTAAAAGTAAAATGGATGGCAGATCCTAATTGAAATGTCATTGCAGTCGGAAATTCATGCAGAAAACGTCCCGAGGAAATAACTAGGCTTTTGGGGAGGGCTTTTTGTTTCTATTTTTCCCGTCCAAAACCTGCAATCAGACATGAATCTGGGAAGCGTTTTCCACCTCACAGAATCTGTGTTATTTGCTGGGAAAAAAATTCTGTTTAAAAAATATGGTCCAGCTTTAGTTATCTGCTAGAGGAGCTCCAGAGCGCTTTGCTGGGATCCCCATGGTCCCCTGAAAGCCTCCTACCTGGTCTAACTCCTGGCTCACCTGTTTACTCTCAGGTGTTGTCTTTCCCTCCAGGTCCGTCTGTGGTCACATCCGCAGGCGCGCACAACAGGAAACCCTGCTGGGGGAAAACATGGGGGTAAGATCAAACATTCCGAGACAGCGCCTGAGCAATGTTCCCACTAATCTTTACCATGCAGGGGTGGAATAATTTGATGTGCACCGAGGCATCTTCAAGTGTGCACCACCCACAGAAAGACAAAACCTAGGTTTGGGTGCTCAGCTAATCAGCTGGGCAGCATTTGAGTGTCTTCTGGTCACAGGAGTGATCAGCTTACAGGGAACGCTGCTCCTGAACTGTGTCCGCGCACTCTGCTCCAGGGCTCCTCAGCTGCAGCTCCTACCTCTCCTCCACCTGGGTGCCAGTTCCATCCCCCTCCCTGCAGCCCCCTCAGCTCCCAACCGCCCCTCCTGCAGCCCC